CATCTTGATCTACTTGGTTTACTGACACTTTTTTGATGAAATCCTTTGGATTCATTTTCCTCTTTTTCCTTGTCTTGACACTCCTCTTATTTTTCTGAAACGAGGACTCAGAACTCTCTTGCTGTAGTGACCTGATAGTGAGTGATTTGGAGGAAGACTCTAAGAGCTTGGAGTGAACGGAAGGTGTAGGAGTGGGTTTGTATGGAAGAGAATCAGGTTCATCAGAAGGATTTTCTTAGAATATCTCATGAGCTAATGACTCGAGGAGTGCTGTAGTTCTTACATCTCCTAGGAATGGAATTTCTTCCCCCCTGGTACTCAGATGAGAGATATGCTCCTTCATTCATCACACTCTCAGCAGCTATAGCCACGATGTTATGAGCTGCTTCCTTTTCTGGTGACTCCTTTAGAGTCACTGAGTCCAACATAGAGGTGTTCAAATACTGGTCAGGATCATCCTCCGGAACTTCTGATACTTGAGGAGTACAACCATTTGTGTGATCTTTGATGAGATCGCAGGATTGACTAGACATAGGATTTTCAAAATAATGGTAAATAGGATTTATCAGGAATGGAAAGACTGTAGGAGTGGAGGAGGGACCAGGAGTTGGTAAGGTGATAGAGGGTGTGAAATAATGGCACTCTGGGATGATTTCAAGAATAATGACGAAGTGGGAGCGATGTCAATGGTGGGAGAATAAGATGATTTTTCGATTGTCATTAGATGAATACTTGATACACGAGTATAGAGAGAGACGAAGAGAAGATCCCAGCTGTACAGAATAGATGAAGGTTCATGACTTGCCTTGAGAGAAGAAGAAGGTTTTATTGGAAGAAGGGATAATGATGAGTGGTGAGCGAAATAGGTTCTGAATAGTTTTAAAAACGGCGGTAGGTTTGTGGGGAAGTGTTATCGTGCAGAGAGGATGAAGGATTTGAAAGACAAGACATGACACACAGACGCTGAAAATTCGAATGATGTGGCATTTGAATTAATTTTGTTAACAAACCCCCCCCCCCCTTGTTTTAAGAGGGCATGCATAATAAGCACATTACTATTAACTTGAAATACAAGAACCTGATGTTAGAGCAGTCTTTTGAACAAGGTTTTAGCAGCTCCCCTTTCGCAGTTTATAGCCATACCTTTAACTTCTATGATCGTCAAGCGTGTTTACCTACAACGGTATTGATGTGAGTTAGGCTTGGGCAGAAAACACTTTAGCTACCTTTACCTGATGGTCTCTTATACAACCAGCAGATTGAAGATCAGGTTCTTCATTAGATTCTTGTGACTCCATCTTCTCCTTGATTTCTCCAGAATGTTCACTTCTTGAGGCTTTGTTGCCGATATCTGGAGTTTGGTATTCGGTTCTGTAGTGCTTTCCATCGATCAATCCTTCCTTCATATTGATCCTCAGAGGATGATCTCACCTTTCAAATTTTTCTCCAGTTGTTGATGAGGTCATTTCGTTTTGCTTCCTTGTCTCCCAGAAGATGAGGCATGAATCATCACAAGTGCACTTTGGTTTTCCAATTTGAAACAGAACTTGGTTGAGGAGAGAAACATGGAGGTTCATTTGATTTCCCCTGCTATGTGTTCTGCTGTTTGTGTAGTGCCATGAGCTGCATCTTTACTTCTTCCTTCAGCTTCATTGGTAGCGAGTAATGTACCAGGTTCTTTGTGCGACACAGAGAATGCTGTTGCGTTGTCTTTTGCCAGTCTCCTTCATCTTGCTCACTTTAACATCCTCCTGATTTGAAGCCTCAAATGTTTCCCCATGAGCATCTCCTACCATTTAGTGCTTCCTTTGTTGGAGACCTTTTGACCTTGTTTTGTGGGTTGTTCCCCAGAGGGATTCCTTCACTCGTCTATTTGCATTGTGCTTCCCAAGTTGATCCTTCCTGTTGTCAGGGGCAAGGCATTTTCTTCCAATTGGCAGTTCCTGGCGAGTTTTGATTTAGGAAGAACCTAGTTCGACACCTGTTCTCCAATAAAGAGCAGTGTTCATTCCTTTTTCCCAGACCCTTTTTGGTGATTCCATAGGTGACAAGCACTATCCATGCTTCATTTTCCAGTTCCGTCTTTTCCTATTCGAGTCCCAAGGGAACCTTTCCGCCTTTTCATTTACAGGGAATGTACCCTTTACTTTCTTCTTAAGGATACATTCCATTCCTGCAGGACTTACAGTGAGAAGCATTTCATGATGTTTTCGGCTGCGTGCTTCAGGCATTCACTATCCATAGTCTATCGCAATCTGCTTCCTCTCACTGCCCCTGCACATGCTCATCAAGGGTTAGATTTAGGAACCCAAACTAGTTTGGGTCCCTTGTTATTATAAAAAGGATAAATGAGAGATTTCCTAGTCCACGCAGGCAGCATCCGCTTTTTGCGAGTCGTACCTGGTCCTTTGCTAGAAGTCACTCCATCAGTGAACGCTTTGTTCTTCTGAACAGACTGAACCCTGGCCTGACAATGTTCTTTAAAATGCCCATTGTTTCCGCAGTGGGTACATAGCCAGTTATCAGGTATAGTGACATACTTGCTGTGTGGGTTGTAGGGAGTTTTCTCCCTTTGAAACTCGATGCGCTATTGTTGAGATACATGGCAGTAACAACATCTGAGGACCATGTCCATTTCAAGGATTTTTCAAGATCATTTTTTACTTCCTCCAACTCAGTTTGGAGTTGCTGATTTCTCTCGAGTTCACTGCAAAGATTAGTTTTTAAAACAGTTAACTCCTTTTCTAGCAAGATGTGCGACTCACTGGCTACTTCCTTCCCTTTCCCAAGACTTACATTCCTATGTTCTCTATTGAGTCCCTCAATGCTTTCCTCTAGATCAGCGCATATTGCTAACAGGTCATCCCTTTCCTCCTCAGCAGATGTAACTTTTTCTTCTAAGACGTGTTTCTCATTGTTAAGGCCTTCTATTGTTTCTTTTAGATCAACAACTACTACAATCAGGTCGTCTCATTTTCCACACTGGTTATTCTTTCATTCAAGGCCTCCTTCTCTATTTCAAGATTAGCTATGGTCTCATCTCGGTCTACTACACATACCACTAAATCATCTCTAGATTGCTCTGCCTCTCCTAGTTCTATTGAGAGGGTCTCCTTATCGTTTATAAGGCTATAATAGGCATCAATTATGACATTTGATAAAGACCTTAGCTTCTTGGAAGAATAGGATTTCAGATTTCTCTGAACATCCCGGAAGCTTACCTCGTCGTCTTCATCTTCTTCATCTGACTGAGCCATCAGCGCGAACAGTGAGTTGTACTTTGTTGCTTTAGTTTCTACTACCAACAGGGAACTATTTTCTGCATCTGATTCCCTTTTGGATTCACTTGAGGAGTCTCCCCAAGCAGCAAGGGCCTGCTTAACGATATTGTCTGCAGCACTTTTTCGATTGAATCTTTTCTCGAGAATCAGGTTCCTTTTTCCTGCCTTGTCAGGATTTTGCTTGTACTGCTCCTGTTTTGCAAGTGGGCAATCTTTGATGAAATGCCCTGTCTTTCCACATCCATGAAAGAGATCGTTGTTCCTTGTTTTACTTGAACTGTCCCACTTTGGTATGCCACCATTTCTTCGAACCAATTTTTGAAATCTCTTCGTAAGATAGGCCGTGTCACTATCTTCATCACTTGAATCACTCTGTTCAACTTTAAGCACCAGGTTATTTTCCTTCTTGGGCTCTCTTCTTTCGCTGTCTTTCTTTCTTTTCATCTCGTAAGTTTTCAGATTACCAATTAGCTCATCCATGGTCAGAGTCTGTAGATCTTTAGCTTTCGTGATGGCATTTACCTTACTTTCCCAAGACCCGAGTAGGATGCTGAGAATTTTCCTTACGAGCTTATTTCTGGGAATGACATCTCCAAGTGAATGAAGCTCATTTATGATGGAGGTGAATCTAGTGTGCATATCTTGTATAGATTCATCATCCTTCATCCTAAAGAGTTCATATTCTATGGTGAGCATGTCAATCTTGGATTGTTTGACCTGATTGGTTCCTTCATGAGCGGTTTGCAACGCCTCCCATATTTCCTTGGCAATTTTGCAAGCTGAGACTCTGTTGTACTCGTCAGGTCCTATGCCACACATCAAGATTTTCTTGGAGCTAGAGTTCTTTTCTACGACTTTCTGTCAATGTCGTTGTACTCTCTTCTTCCTTTCGGCACCATATGCCCTGTTTCTTCAATCTTCTTCATGGGAACATGTGGACCATCACATATAGGTTGATTGTCCTTCTTCAAAGCTTGGTGGATCAGCCATTGAGGATTCCTCCTAGGTGTTATCCTGATAGGAGAAACCTGCTCTGATACCAATTGTTGACTTATGTGAGTCCACCAAACTATAGGGTACCTGATCCGCTATGAGACTGATACGTAGAGTGCAGTAAGGACTGAATGTAAAGAAGGCCAGAGATTTTCTACATGGAAAAATCCCACACAAGGGGATCAAAAAACCACGACCTACCCCTGTAGGTTTTAAACTCAACTAACTTGTAATCTACCTATTACAAGCCACTTTGCAAACTCCCTTTTGCAAAGACTTCAAACTAACTTGTGATGCACCACCACAAGCCACTCTACAACTCTCCTAGTTACAGAGCATTTAACTTATAACTATTCCTAGTCACAACATAAACTCTAAAGTTTACGAATTTGGTTTGTTCCTAAGACAGCGCTTAACAAGATTACAACTCAACTATGGACGTACATAGGACTCTATTAGAAACTGATCCTTAGTGGACTTGTCTTCTTGTTCTTGACACACCATTGACATCAATGCTAGATGAACTTTGTTATACTTGAGAGAATATCACTGAATGCACAAAGGAAGTGGGTCTTGCACCAGGTTGTTTTATCACAAAAGATATCACAATGGGTAGTGATGTCAACTCTTGGTGTACTTCTTCCCAGTGAGAAGTGACTGCTGCACATTCTGCACATCCACTTCTGGACAGTTGCGTTCCAGCTGGATAGTGGGCTTTATACTTCCTGTCAGGACACACCAACAGACCAGGTCCTAGTTGTGTTCCTCTTCTGTAACAGTTGCCAGATGATCACTTTCTTCTGTCACGTTCCAGCTTTGTACTTGACTTGTACTTTCTGTCAGAGAACCCTAAAGCAACAGGTCCCTGTTGTGTTCCTCTTTATCTTGATTGCGTACAGTCA